TTATCTAAAGTAAATATTTTATCATTTCCTGAAAGCCAGAAAGTAGTACAATTTTTTCTCTTTAGAATAAATATGCATAATTAATAATTGCCCTAATTATTTTCAGTACTTTAAACTATATTTTTTAAATAACTTAAATTCTAAGTCACGATTATTTAAGATTTCATCATTTTTTCCCCTTAATCCTTTAGTATGTAAGTGAGAATAATTATGAAAGTGGTTATTATAAATATATAACTTTAATAGTAGGTTTTAAGTAAATAAAACCCAATCAGACATAAATAAAAGTAAAGATATATATGTGGGTTAAAAAAAGAGTGTTTCTGATTATAACAACAGCATTATCACATTTACTTCTGTTAAAACTCGGAGACATTTAAAATTGCCCCCGGTCATGATAAATTAGGAAGCGGTTCTTAAGGTAGCATAATCAGTATTTTACCTGAATTCAAGTATAAATTTATTCGCATTTTATAGTAAAAAATTTAACCATTAACTTCTATATCTCCAAGATATCCAAATGAAACACTGTATAAAGTAGTTAATAAATGTAATCAACAGTATTTCATACAAAAATGTCTAAATCTAATAACCAAAAAAATCTTCCCATTTTCATATCTAAAATGAAATAATAACCTAACAAACAACATTCATGAAAGCACTATTTAAGAAAAAACATGAACTGGCAGTGTTTGAAAGTATAAATGAGCAGAAGGAAGGTAACAGACTAAAATTTCCAATTAATAAAAAAATATTCTTGTTTTTTAAATAGTAAGCAATTAAAAGTTCAATAATTATGGATTGCAGTATTTACTAATAATGCTGATGTTTTTAACACCATTTCTTTCGATCATATATTAATGTATTTACTTACTTTTAGTTTCTACATTTTAGAATAGTGGTAGATTACAATGATTACTTCATGCACTTTATATAATCAATAACTTTTTCCTTTTGTTAGTGTAAAAAAATAATTTAAATAATATAGTATACGATAGTAAGCTAAGTACGTTAAAGTAAGCTCTTTGTTAAATAGCACATGATGAAACTTTGTTTCTATTTATTATGGATTTCTTTGTTATCACAAGCACATAAAAGGTAAGCGAAGAAAATAGAATATACTTAAATTTAATAAAAAATAAAACCTAATTTCCAACATTCATTTATTGAGATAATCTAATAAACAAACATAACGGCAATATTTAAAACAACGTGAATTACACAGTGTTTGGAAGAATAGATACCAAACGAAAAGTAATAAAACTGTGATTTGCAATCAATAAAAATATTTAGTGTTTTTTAATATTACACAATTAAATATCACATAATTATAAATTACAGTATTTCACAGTAATGCTAATGTTTCCTTAACACTATTTTTTCGATCATACATTTCATACACTTTAAAATCATTAACCTTTCCTGCATACTATACAAAAGACAACATAATATACAATGTGCATTATTATTAATTTTAAAGTATTCCTTGAATCTTTCTAATATGTTATTACATATATCTAATTCATCTTCAGCAGTCATATTAAGTACCAGTCCAATAATTTCCTTCTATTTTGAAACTCATGAACATACCATAACAGCTTGAATTGTTGTTGCTTCTGCATGGATTGCATTTGCATCCATGCAGAAGATTTCTGCATTTTGCATTGCAGAAAGTGCCTTAACGTTGTATGTTGTTTTTGGTTTTATATGAATAAATTCTGAGTACCAACACAATTTGGAAAAAACCACCATATAATTTTAATCACTGGTAACACATAAAACACCAAAACAGAACACTATTTCATTGTATCTGGACGAGTTTAGCAAGCTGCAAGCTGCATCCGATATTTTTTTTAAACAATGCATCCAAAATTCAAAATTTTGATTGTGGTCTTGTAGAGCAGAAATTCGGCATTACCGTGAAGATTTCTCCTCAATTCAAAATAAACTGCCATCACTATATTCTTGTGCATTGTTCTCTTTCTGTATTGAAGCTCTCTAGTATTTAATTCCAATGGTGAATTGCAAAATCGTGAAGAAAATATTCCTGAAAATAAGATGGAGTCTGAAATTATTGCGCCGTTAACTGACTTGTTTGAATTTGGCAGCTAGCCAAAGTGTGCAAGCCTCGACCTCAGATGTTTGTTTATTTAACCATCCAGTAAATTATATGCATGGAATATCAAATGGTTGAACAGCGTTTCAGTGTAACTTTTCAGCGAGTTATAAGATTGCACTGAAACTTTCAACGGTTCTTCTGATCATCTTTTTCAATAGAATCTGTTTCAAATGGCTTAGAAAAATTATTTTAACTGAATAGAATTATGAACAATGTTCACAAGGTTATATTTACAAAAAATATTTATCAGGCTCGCTAAAACATTTGTAATGTCAATATCGCCAAATCCCGAGTGTACCGTATACTAGGATTAAACCAAGTATTTTTAAATGCATGGAGATGGACAAAAGCGTAACAAACAGTTCATCAGAACTTTTATAGGCAATGAATTTTGTATTTTTGTTCACAGTTTCTCTAATTTTGATGTCAGCATTTATTAGTAATTTATCAAAGCCATTATCAATTTATCAAATTAATTTTGTCGTTTTCCATTAAAAGTGTTAATATTTCTTTCTCCTTTTCCATTAATTTTCTGTCAGATAGTTTGGACAACTGTTAAATATCCATGGATATGCAATGTCTTTTAACATTGGACGTTTTCTCGGAATTCTTAAAACTGCCCCATTTATAATCATGAATACATTTTCACGCACAATCGTATCTTCACGAAAATTGTACTTTTTGCTTTGTATGCAGTAAAAATGTTTCATATGTCAGCATATTAATTCAAATAAATTTGTCCTTACTTCAAAAATAATAAATAAAGTCATATCTCAGTAGTAAAATAATTGCTAACATGTGATTTGCATTGATTTTGGAAATATTTTTTTAAATATATAAAATGCATAACTTAATAATTTACTTTATATATTTGTTTCATTTTTAATTACTTTAACAATAATTTAGCAGGTATTTTTAGTACTAATTAAATTTAATAATTTGAGTATTTATATTAAATTTATATTTCATTAGATGAATCTACCTTAGATTAATATATTTAGATGAAATAAAGTAATGAAACATTGCAAAATAAAACTTATGCGGACTTCAGATTCTTGAAAGGGCAGATTTAGTCTCTTTTCATTCTAAAAGTAATGGTGATGAACTACGAAAAAGATGCTAAAAGGACCACGTCTAAAAGCGGTCATATCATGACGTTATTGCCAAGATGCAACGGCAAATATTTTGTGTCTTCGCAACGTTGTAAAAACATCGTAAAAGTTACCACGACCACTTTGCAACCTCTCGGACCAGTTTGCAATATCGTTACGACGTTGCCGTGCTACTTGGGAATGGTATGCATAACAGAACCAACTTATTCTTCAGGTGATTAGCAAAATGCTTATGAGATGGATATTGTGTTAAGTTGATGGTCTTCCTGGTTAGATCAGCAAATTCCAATCCTTAGCTTTTTGATAAAGAACCTTGAAACGAAGAGCTTGTTTACTCTATTTGTCCCGTTTGGTTATGACGAGAAAATATGACACTTGCTTCTATGAGTTGTGCGTAAACAGGAAGTTTTTTAAGTTCAGGAATTGTGCCTCATCAGAATAAGAGGCTATATCAAGTCAGAAATGTAAAGACTTATATTCTACAGAAATTTCTTACAATAAAACATCTACAAGTTCTATAAATCATGCATTTTGCATTAGCAACAAAAACTTGCACATAGCATGAAAAATGACTGTGTGTTTAAGAATAACTTTACACTAGTATATTTTAACAAAAATTATTCATTACTTTTAAGATTTTAATCTTCTAAAACAACATTATTATTCTAAAACATATTATTTTTTACGATTATCATTTGAGTCTACATTTGTAGAAATAAAATGATTACATATAATTTGTTGAGGTTACAATGATAAACAGCATCTATTTTTTCAAAGGCATGAAGAACTTAATGCTATAAAATAGAAAGCAATATCAAATTTAAGATTAATAAAGCAACAACCTTGTGTTTGACGTAGATTTAGTCAATAACTCAGTTTCGAGGGCAAACAGTTACAGGTCCCTCTTCATCAGAAGCGAAGAAATCTGCAAGACTTAAGAAGGTTGGTTGGTTGATGTGATTATGGCAAAGCCTCAAGGGCCTTATCTGCCTAAGGGGAGGGATACCTTGGTGGAGGACTTTCTAAGGGAAACTGGCTCATATACATGTTATACATGGGGAAAACCATGAAAACACCCATGCAGCCCACCCGTTCATGAGATTCAAACCTTGAACCAATCTGCCAGTGTTCAGCGACTTTACCGCTCGGCTGCTGGTAGGCGACTGAAGATGGATATGTGTCGTTTTACCCTCGAAATCGATTGAGTTATTGACTAAATCTATGCCAAGTACAAGTTAACCAAAAACGTTTTTGCCATTTTAGACAGTCAGAAACAAAAAGTCATACAACATATAATAATCACTGCTAATCTTAAAAGTATTCACCATCGGCATCCAGTGCCTTTTTGCCAACGAGTGGCCAGCTGTGCAATGACGTTACGGTAAAATTCAGGAGTCTTAGACGCAAAGAAGTCCATGAGGGCCCTTTTGAGGTCTGGCTGGTTGTCCAAGGATTTCCCACGAAGATGGTTGTCCAGGGAATGGAAAAGGTGGTAATCTGTTGGCACAAGGTCTGGGGAGTATTGTGGATGGGGCAGTGTCTCCCAGCCCAGTCGCTGGATGGCGTCCCTGGCCTCCCAAGCCATATTCGGCCTTGCATTGTCATGGAGGAGGAGTACACCCTTACGAATGACCAATGCTGGATCGTTATGCATCAGTGCCTGATGCACACATTCCAACTGCTGTGAGTACAGGCCTGCCGTGATGGTTTGGCCTACTGGCTGGAGCTCATAGTGCACCACTTGGCAACTAGTCCACCAGATACAGAGCATGATCTTGTGTGGGTGTAGAGAAGGTCTGGCAGTGGGAGGCACAGGGTCCCGGGGTGACAACCAATGTCTGGAATGCCTGGATGTATCATACTGGATCTATTTTTCATCACTGGTGAGTACTCTATTAAATATGGATGCATTGCAGTGCCGAGTAAGCAATGGCAAACAGGCAGTGACACACTGTTGCTTGTTTGCATCGGACATTGAGTGGGTCCACTTGCTCAGCTTGTATGCCTTTCCTATGCAGTGCAAATTGAGTCTGATCATTTCATCAGATACCTGGAAGAGTGCGACAAGCTTGCCACTTGTTTGGCTACTGGTCGCTGTGTATGGCTGCTCTCAGGACCTCATCATCCAGCGCTTGTGGCCGACCACTGCATGGTGCATCACTAAGAGACATATTCCCTGAGCTGAACTTCTGGAACCATTGCCTAGCAGTTCGTTCATTAACAGCATCATCCCCAAAGGCTTCGCAAAATCAGCGACTTGATTGCTGACAGGCTCACTTTAAAATCACACGACAAACAACTTCAAAGGAGCACCTTTGACTCATCCATTTCAATCAGTTGCTGTGTAAGTTTTGAAGTACCGATATAACGTGCTTCTATACTCTTGGTCAATGTCCGAACTCCCATCCTAATCACTTCATCGCCAGGTTTGCCGAATATTTTTATGTTGTTTTTATCTTCCAATGCCATATCAGAAATGGCAAGAACTTTTTTGGTTACCTTGTCTAAGGTTGTTGCTTTGCTGATTTCATGTTTCACTTTGATGTATTTCTCTTCTGTTTTGAAACATCAAATTTCTTCATGAAGGATGTTAAAAAAGTTAAATGCTGTTTAATTTGATTTTTAAATGAACACAGCATTCCAGTTTCAGTTTCAGACCGTTTGAAGCAACTTTTAAAGCAATTTTTTCATACTCTGTTGCATTAAAAAAATACTTTATTCAAATGCAACCTGCGAAAGAAATTTATGTATATTTAATATAAAAAATCTGAAAGCAAACTGCTAATTTTAAGTGACAATAGTCTCTTTTTATTCTTCATTTTCATTTGTGTACTTTTTGTCCTAGAAGTAGTAACAATTTATAGTATATTGAACACAACTACATCATTTCAAAATTAATCCACACTGTAAGACCTTATATAATGCTGCAATGCAGAGACCTGTTATCGAGTCACTAAATAAGATTTTTAATAAAACAAAAACGTTTTTGTTCTTTCTCATACTACTTCTGAATGTGTTCCTTTTTGCTGCCTTCTTTGTTACTTCAAACTTAGCATTGCTTGCTGTCTTCTAAAGGTACTGATGTAAAAAGTGCTTTAAGAACAAAGTGTTATGGCACCCCTTTTTATCTGTGTTGGATTAATGAAAAATTTGTGCCAACCATGAATAAAAGGAAATAACTGAATTCAATCCCCCCCCATATCTGCAAGTTTCTTCTGTTATTTACTTCTACTATGACACTACTCAACTTTGTTAAGCTATTGTATATATGATCATTACGTGATATTAAATGAGAGCTTGAAGGGAAGGCATTAATTCACTTTTTAATTGTGGCCAGAGCGGAATGAAATTGGAAGATAGCTGAAATGCCAATGATGTAGTAGATGACTTGAAGTGGCAGACATACTGGTGGTGTCTTAACTACATGTAATGTTGGAAAAAGCTGACATACAGCCATAATAACAACATAAATTAATTTTGGTAAACATTCTTTCATTCCATATAATTCTTGGGTGCGTGATATACCTACTCAATTTTTGTATGTACTGCTAACATTTTAAATAATGGAGAATGCAGCTAAGCAAAGTCATTTAGCAGGCAACTGCAGGCCTGGGGGTAGGAGAAGCATAGCTGTTTGCAGCCATATTTATAAGCTTGGTTTCTTTGGTTTAAAATCCTGAATTATGATTCAGCAAGAGCTTTCACATTACGGTTTTCTGCAGGAAAAGAAATATGTCAATGATGCAGTAAAGCTGCTTTGAAGGGGTTGTATTTGAATTAAAATTAGGAATGTAATGGATTATTGCCAATTAAGTTAGAAATGTGTCAATAAATTTTCTTCATATTTTTACATATCCCCTTTTAAGGAGAAAAAGTTATGTATAAAAGCCTTTTGAGAAAATTGTGAGAAAGAATTTTGAGAAAATTTGAGCCAATTGTTAAGTGTGAAAATCAGGTTAAGTATTAATCAGGAAGACTACATAGTTACTTTATAAAGATATTATTTTTAAAGATTTCTTTCAGATTGTTTATCATTGAGTAATATATTTTTATTGTAACAAAATAAGTCTGGGTTTTTGAGTAAATCTGTAATTGTAATGTTTTGTATATCTCAGTGCATACTCTGACATGTATTATATTTATATACAGTCAAAAGTCTTTAATCTGGACTCATCGGGACTTCGGCGATTCCTGATTATAGATCATTAGTTTAAATCTGGTAAGATGGCATGCAGAAATTATAAAATTAAAAATATGAAACCATAATTTATGAAATAAAGAGCAATTATGATCTAAAGGGTATCAAAATTTCCAAAAAGAAAAGCTTAATATTTATTTGTTTACTTTATTAAACCTTTTGTTTCAATGTAAGTTGTTTAAGTTGCTTCGTTTTATGTGCTAATACTTTCTTTTTAATTCTATAAACAGACATAATTTCTTGTTCAGTTACAAAGTTCCGCTGTTCAAGTCCCATAATTGCTGTGTCGAGAATACCGACTAATTTGTCAATAAAATTTTTCCGTTTTCAATAATTTCTCTGTCACTTTCTTCACTATCGTAAGCGGTACATCGTAACATTCTTTCGCTTTGTAGATGCTTTGGCAGCTCCAAAATCGGAAACTCTTTTTGACATAATCGAAAGTTCAAGCTTACTTTTTATAAAATTGCTCTAACAGTCTGCAAAAATAATAAGCTGGATCCAATTAGAAGATTAAGGAACAACACAATCTGCAACATTAACTGAAATGGATAATTTTAGCCTAGCTTATAGCATCCATTATATATTAAATATGCATGCGTAAAGGTATTATGCGTAAACGCATTATGTGTTTATGCATGCGCAGAAAGTTTGTAGCTTTGAGGTCCAGATTATAGATCATTCCGGATTATGCATGTCTGGATTAAATACTTTTGACTGTATTCAGTAGTGTTAAAAGGTTAGTTTTTCAGCTAATTTTGAAAAAATTTTTAGGAATTTTCTGTAAAAGCTAGTGTGCATTACCAGATGCTACTTGTTACATACAATTTATGTTTTTTTTTTTTTTTTTTTTTTTTTTTTTTTATTATTATATCATTAATGTTGAAATTTTTCATGTTAGGAGCAGTCCTAATCAGAGCTTAATTTGTAAAATTGCAAGTACTGAAACTCTGTGAAAGTCTGTCAAGAAAGATACATAGTAATAATTAATACAAAATAAATTGTAGAGAAATACATAAGTAAATTAAATTAGTGACAGATAATTAAATAATAAAATACTGGAACTCTGACTGAAGTTATGATTTATCTTAAAATTGAACCTGGCTGAATTTAAGCTCTGTTAGCTGTGCAAATGCTGCATGGGTGTTTTCATCACTTTACCCATGTGTAATCTGCATACGAACCAGTTTCCCTTAGAAAGTCCTCCATAAAGACATCCCTTCCCTTAGGCAGACACCCCTAGTGAGCTGTTTCATAATCAACTAAACCAAACCCAAAACTCAGTGGAAACATTCTTTAAGATCAAAATGTTTTACGGATACTGAGTGCAAATAAAATAGAGTTTCAACAGAGTATCAAAGTGTATAAAAGTGTACTTTATGCATTCTAGAAGTCATTACCTTCAATGTTATAGTAAATAATTATTTCTGCTTATAAGTGATTCATTATGTGCTTTTTAAAAAATTTTCTTTTATGTAGAGCAAATTGCTTCAAAATGGGAAATTGAATGGTAATGCTGTTAATAAAAATATTGCTGTTCCTTCTGGCAAAAAAAAGGACACATCTGAAAAGCATTCTCCACCTGGCAAAGCAGTAACTCCTGAAAAATCATCTGCAGTTGAAAAGAAGGTATCTATTATACATATTTAGCATATTGAATATGTCATGTTGTACGTATGTACATGTATGTGAAAGTATATGCTTAATTTTTATGCATTTGTATATATTATTTTAGCACATTTGTCCTCTGTTTTAAGTATTTAGTTGTGAAATGAAGTACATGCGTTATTCATTTCAAATGCATGTTATTTTCTTTGTAATAAAATTGACATGCATGTGTAATATTTCTCTGATACACATTTGAATTTTAAGTTCAACTAAAGGATTAATGAAAAATTTAAAAATACAAAGCTCGAAATGTGGACTTCCAGACCACCAGCAAATTTTTGTTCATGAAATATAGGAAGGGAGAAGAGGCAGATGTGTCATAAAAGTGATTTTTCTTCTGATTAACCGAGATTCCTATATGTCACTTTCAAACGACTACTGGTTAGGGAATTACCATAAGCACTGGCATTGCATTAATTCACATTAGCTGTGACCACACATTCAGCCCTTCGTAGGTGAAGAGGGGTTAATATTTTTGTTTGACATAACAAACAAGATGTATTTCTTGGAGTGAGATGCTGCTAATACTGGTTTACTGTTGTTGCCATAACAGCGGGAAGAGAGAAAAAATTAGATTCAGATGAAATTTAGTTACCTTAGCAAATTGCACTGTTCCTTAACTAATTCGATCCATCATATTTTTGGGCTATTATTACAGGTATGTTATCAAAATTAAAATTTGAATTTTTTATTATAAAGAATGTCTAATTCTGGAGCTATATAGCTGGATCTGAAAAGCAAAAGCATATTTGGTACTTGCCTTCTCTTGTGGCCTTGGCACAAGAAAACTATGGTGCAGTTTCAAAATTAGATGGAAAAGAAACCTTATTTTCGCATAAATTTTGAATGCTGTAGAAGGTGAAATTTTTCAGTTAATGGAATTTGTGTAGAAATAGGGAGAAATCAGAATAAATGAAGATGATAACAGAAGTTTCCTACTGTGATAACAATGCACCAGTCAGCAGTTACCTAGCTGGTGGTGAAATATTTAGTATGGTTTTAAATCCAGAAAGTACTGCTAATGATAGTGAAGAAATGTGAAAAGAGATTTTTGAGAATAAAAAGATTTCAATTGATAGATTACTGGAAATTTTTGACAGAATAAATAGAGGACTTGAACAGGGAATCTTTTTAACTGAATGAGAGAAAGTAGTGCAAAAAATGAAACAACTTAATTAACTTGCATTAAAAGAAATGTTTAATAAACTTAATATTGAATTTCTTTGCAATTTTGTTTTCTCTTAAAGTCTGATTCTTCATTGTTCATGTCTAATGATTTATTATGTCATCAACAACTATTTCATATTTTCTAAATGTCATCTTACTGGATTTAAACTGATGATCTAAAATTTTGAATGGACGATTCTGGGTTTCAGACTTTGAACTGTATAAGTTTTTACTTCCTGTTTAATAAAAATCTGCTGCAATCATCATTTGAATTTGTACTATAAAAAAGCATATTAAAAGTTACCATTGTCATCATTTCCTAAAAATATAGGGGGAAACATTTGCTGTATTATTTGATATCATACTGAGTGCAATCCAAATATTATTGCCAAAATTATTAGGCTTATTGGGCTTCTAGACTGAATAGGTATACAAACTCACTTCATAACTGAATAATTTTATTAATGTGTGTATCTTTATCACATAAATTTAAGCAAAGTCATAAAACTTCAGCAGCCTGAGCCCACAAATAAAAGCCTAGTACTTGGAATGAAATCTGAAACTGTCGAAAGAGCAGTAGTCATTTTTCTAGTGTTTAACACTAAATAAAATTAGCAACCAGCAGTAGGGCTATGGAGTTGGGGGCAAAACAAATGCTTGCATAGCTTCATAGATGTAATACCATTCTGTTAAATGCATTGAACGTCTTGTTTAAAATTAATCTAAATTTAGAATTTTATTGGTGATTTTAGAAATGTTTTTGTGTCTTGTTACGTTTCTGTTCATCTTTTATGAGAAATATCCATATTCATATAATGATTTAATGATATTTTGTTGAGCATGAGAGAAATAAACTGATGTGGAAGCCCTCATCCTGTTTAAGGCATACTAGTAATGTTTTTTATTAATTCTAAAATATTAGCTGCAAATTATATTAATTGTTTTCAAATGAAGCTTGGTTTGAGTAATTTATACTGAATTTATTTAGTGTTAGAATTATACATATTTTGCGTTATTAACTTAATGTGTTAACAAGAATCTTAATTCTTTGAATTTTATCTATGAAATTAAATAAAAAAGTTTTATATGTATATTTGTAACTTACCCCTTGTAACACAGTTCTTTAACCATATTTATAGATGTTTAATTTCAGAATTTTTCAGTTTTCTGTACTTTTGCTTTATCTGCCCACTAGGGATCACCGGGCAAAGCGCTGTGTTGCCAAAGTAGGCAACCTGGATTATAAGGAATGTGTATTTTACCTGGTGCATGTATTTTGCTAATGGTTGAGCACACATTGTACCAGCACGTAATGGGCGCCATTTTGGAATTACCATGAAGCAAATTATGATGCTGGGAAGTCTGCAGTTCTCTGTTGTATTTTTAAGTATAACAGGTTGATGTGTACATGGAGAGCAGTGCCAGTTTGTTCTTCAATGCTGAGAATTCTGCGATTCTCTGATTTTCTTTTTTTTAAAGTTAAAACAGGTTGCTGCAAACATGAGCCAAGTGTTAAATAGAAACTTAAAATAGAAAGTTGTGTTTTATTGTTGATGTGTGTTGTGTTTCTTATTTAACTAATTTGTTACAGTTTTGTTATGGATGTTTATTTTATGCAATTTTTGCCATTTTATTTTGAATGTTTCTTCCATTTTTAATTTTGTTAATTTGTTGCTGTTTTATGCAAGTTTCAATGTGTCACCATTTTTTTTAAAATGGCTACTGTTTTTCATGTGTTAGGTTAGTGAAAAATAGTCACCAACGATTATTTTGCTGTCAGATAAAGCAACATCAAGTTTTTAATTTCTGAAAGGCAGTTTGTTAAAATTTTTTTTTAAGTTCTGAAACTGAATTTGTAAAACATCTAGATGGCCTTCCAGAATGCGAAATAAAATGTATAAGTAATATATATCGTCTTTTTCTAAAAATAAGACATCCTCCAAAAATAAGCCCTATCATGATTTTCGGAACTTTTTGTAAAATAAGACATCTCCCGAAAATAATCCCTAGTTAAAATAGTGTGACAAAAAGAATTCGTTAAAAAATGCTTTTGATTTATTAAGTAATAATATGTTTAGCTCTCCTAATACTCATATTTCAGAGAAATGTTTGAAACAAAATATTCCGAGAAATTAATTGTTTACCTCTACAGTTCGTTTCGAATTAATTCTTGGAATTTATCTTAACCAGTTCACCGTTTGCCCCGAGAAAGATACGTTCACAGGAAAAGCATCGTCATCCGTTAGCGTCGGCAGACTCTTGTCAGGGTGAAATTTGGGCTGAACTGTAACCCCCGAGACACATACGACGCAGCGACCTTTTTCCAACCCCCACAGAATGAGTCAAAAATCAAAAGGGGTGATTGATGGGTTATCTTCTCAGCGGTTTTTCATTAGGATCACAGCGGGGCTGTTTCAGGAAAGTAAAGGATGGGGACACTTTCTTCGAATAGCTACCCCCTCAACATATCTTATGAGATCCACAACAGCTTTCTCCCTTTCTGTTAACACTCAAAGGGATTTGAATGCTATCTTTTCGATTCTTAACGATTCAATTCTTCTCTTTTGTTACAGGCCATCAAGAAAATAATAAAACAAAATTCAAGGACATTTCAAATACTAGCTAATGCCCTTATTTTTGCTTTATATAAAGCTTTTTCTTGACAATTAAAAATTACATTTACATTGTAATAGATTGCAATAGATTTGGAGTTGAGTGCAGGAAGTGGAAGTGGGGTTGGGTGCAAAGGGAAAAATATCTGCTCTAAGGACTACACCAGTGTTTGTGTTTTATGTTGCCCCTTAGGGGGTCGTTATTCACCATCCTTCAGTGTGACAGGTACGCTGTTCAATCTGATTTGAACAGAACTTCTAAATAGGCTTTCACAGGTGGTGAAAGTGGGAAAGAAATACTCTGAGCCCAGTTTTAGACACAAAAAGTTTACCTTTGGATGCAAAAAATGGCATGAAATGTTTGTGATTTTCCTAACGGCGAACTGATTAAAAATACAACAAATAAGGCAGCAGTCTACATTGAGCAAACAGTGCAGGTATACACGTTCATTCATTTCAGTCTTGTAAGTCTGATTATTTCCTCATACGTAATTTTATTTAAAAATAAAGTGAATAATTTTTAACCCCAGTTAAAATGAGTACAAAACGAAAGAGCTATTCTAGAAAAAGCTATTCCGTCGAGTACAAAAAGGGAATCGTGGAAGACTACAGGGGTGTAAATCTTGTAGCATTCTGTAAAGAGAAGATGCTGGATCTCTGTATGGTTCGTAAATGGCGTGCAGACTACGATTACCTGTGTCAACTGGTGGACCAAGGAAATGAGAAAAAAACGCCAGAGTTGGATCAGGTCGACAGCCGTTATTTTCTGAGTTGGAAGATTGCATCTGGGAATGGATTGCAGGCAGGAGAGCAATGGCTTTGGTTGTGCGCAGGGCTGATATTAAAAAATTTGCCCTTGAAACAGCAACTGAATTTGATATATCCACAGAAGAATTTAAAGCATCGTTACACTGGTTGGACAACTTCCTTAAACGATATGAACTGTCTCTAAGGAGATCAACAGCATTGTTTAAGCTGGAAGACAATGAAGTTGTTAAGCGTGCACTTGTGTTTAAGCTTTTTGTTGATGGCATCGATTTTTCGAAATACCAACTCTCCAACATGATTGCTATGGATGAGAACACGGTATTCCTAGGCCAAGGAGCTCAAATGACAGTTCACCACAAGGCTTCTTCGTCAATTTACATTCCTTCTACCAGTTACGATTGTGCACGTATTACCTGTATTTTGGCGATTTCATCTAGATGGCAAGGAAGTATTGCCATTTTTAATCACTAAAGGTAAAAAAGACCAGATTCAACGTGTTTCAGGAATTTATGTCATTGAAAGTGAAAAAGCAGCCTGGTGCACCCAAGCAGTTATAAGAAAGTGGGTTGATTTTATGCTGCCACCACTGTTTGAGGGTCAGAATAAGAGGTTTACTAGTTTGGGATTCAGCCAGTACTCACCGCACTAAAGACATGAAAAACTTTCTTGCTGAGAGGAAGATTGATCAAATAATGATTCCGACAGGAATGACTGGTTACCTCCAGACACTTGACATTGCAATAAACAAGCCATTCAAAGATCATTTGCGGATGGAAATCAATGAATATATTGAAAACAGAATGGTGAGAAATCATCAAGGTAATTTTGTAAAACCAGGCTAACAAGAAGTTGTGAATTGGGTAAAAAATTCATGGGACAAAATAACTGATAGTGATGTTTCCAATGCACTACAAATAGGCTACTTAGACATGAAATATTCATTTAACGATAGCTATATCACGAGACATGAGAGATTCGGACCAATGATTCAACAGGAAATGGATTTGGTAGAAAATCAGAATATAATTCAGAATTTTATTTATGACGATGTTCCAGAAGATGACATGACTGTAATTGAAAAAATTTAAATTTCTGTATTCTGTGTAAAATAAATATTAAATAAAAATATATAAATATACTTTTATTTTTGCCCTCCCCCGAAAATAAGCCCTAGCGCGTATTTTGGACCAAAAAAGAAAGTAACACAGTGTCTTATTTTCGGAAAAAGAGGGTATATATGCTTTAAATTCAAAACTATTGCAGCTGTAAAGAAATTTAAGCAGATTTCTATTTTGCAACAATGAAGTGAACAAGTGAATTCTGAATGATTTTGCTTCTGAGTAAATTCAATAGGTAGGATTCCTTTTGTTTTAAAGTTTTAAGGAATAAGAATATGCAAAATATTTTGAGTTGAATATAAGTTGATTTTTAGTGGTCAGACTTAAAGAATAGTATTCATTTGCAATTTTTTTTAATGTTGTAATTACATAATTTGATTTCAAGCACAAAGCTTAGCTTTATGCTATTTAAAGCCTTTGTCTAATATGTTTATCTTGCAAATTAGAACAGGTAAGTAAAACAACTAAGAAATGTTTTTGTATACGTCTGCTTAAATTTAAAAAAAAAAAAAAAAAAAAAAAAACTTTTAGGTAGTTATTCTGTGTCATTTTGTGGTATAAAATCTTAGGAATATTTTTGCCCTTGTGATATCACTTTAAATTTTATTGTTAGTAGAACAGATGATCATTAATGCAATTTAATTACATCATTTTTCTTCATTTCAGAAACATTGTATTTATTAAATATAGTTATTTTTGTACTGTTTAAAAATATTTTTCTGTATAGGCATCTAAAAAGTCTCGTGCTCAGAATGAAAAAAAGACTGTTGTTGAAAAAAAGAAGGAAAGCATTTCCAATGATGACATGAATGATGGTTTGTTATTCCCTTTTCTCTTAAATGTGATAAATAAATGTGATGCATATATATATATATATATCGTAGAAGTTGACCAAAATTCATTTCTTAGAAATCTTTTTAACATGCTGTTACTTGTGAGTATATAATTTCTCGTGTGTGAAACTTATTTCTTTAAACAACTTCTGAGTAAATGAAATAATAGCCATTGTGTATGTCAGTGGTCTCAAAGTGGTGGTCGGTGGGCCACATATGGCCTCCGAAGCAATTTTATGGTACCTGATACTAAGTTTCAGTTATGTATTTGTTTCATTGCGGTGCTTATAGATTTCAATATAGCATAAATTCATTGTACAGTGTCTTGCAACATAATGTTTGTTAAGAAAATTGAAAAGCACTTGCAGACATTTCAGCAGTCATTATATTACAATTGAATTTGAAGCTGGCACTGGCACACACATAGAAGTGCTCTGACAGACCCACATCTAAGGAAGTAACAGTTTAACATATAAATATAAACAACATTAAAGACACTTGGATTGTGTTTATGTGCACGACTGCTTTTGATTGAGGCAGAAGCAAAGAAGTAGATTTATGATAACAGTTAAATGAAAAATTTATAAACTTCTTTCATACAAGGCCATTTGGGCTAAAATAGGATGTCGTTACATTCAATAAATTTATTTGCTAGCCAATAATTGGTAGAAATTTTATATTCTGGTTTTCTCTCCTCCTTCCAGTTGAGTTGATACTTTCACTTTCCTTGAGTCAAGTCACTAGTTGGTAATTCTGGATGTACGATTACACAATTCCTATTGCTAAATAGAGGGAGACAAACTAACATATGGCTTGTGTGTCATTTGAAATTATGCAAAATGTTTTGAGTATTGCTTTCATATGAGTACATTGATTCATCTTGAATCAGTACCTAGCTGGTAAACTGGATGTATAATTGTGCAATTCATATTGCTAAGAGATTAAACTGTAAGCCATGTCTTTAACAAAGGATAAAAGAAAAGTGGCAGAAGAAGGATGTGTGTTTCAAGATAAATGAGAAATCGATACTTTTGCAGCATTCTCAATATGAGTTGATCAGAAAAATGGCATTATAGATATAGCACAGCTTGCCATTTCCATACAAGGTGTTACTGTTGAATTTGAAGTAGTTGATTAATAACTGGAAATGATTCCTATGAAAGGAAATACTGTTGCACAGAATATTTTTTTCTTAAATAAAAAGTGTAATAAATAAATATAAATTAGGTTGGAATAAAATAGTTGTATTTGCAAGTGGTGGTGCAGCTACTATGTTTGATTAAACTAAATGGAATAGCTGTAAAATTAAGAAATATAGTGAAAGAAGAAAATTTTCAGAATCTGTTTTGCTCTACATTGCATCTACTGTACATCATCAAGGTGTGCTCTGTAGCAAAAGTTTAAAGTGGATGGTGTTATGGAAACGGTAATTAAAGCAGTAAACATTACGTATGGGCAAGCTCTAAATCATTGAGAATTTGTTGTATTGCTTAAGAGATAGAAAGTGAAAAGTGAGTGTAGATAAATGATTTATTATAACAAGTGGTTAAGTCAAGGAGCTGTATTAAAAGGATTTTTTGATTTATGAAATGAAATCAAAATTTACATAACTCAGAAAAATAATAAATAAAACCATAGCTCAAATGATCATTACAGAATGTTATGTAATATGATGAGCTACATAACGATAACAGATTTAGCATTTCATGTTAATTTAAACGGCCTTTTAAATATTCTCAATAAAGAGCTGCGGGAAATGGATAAACGCATTACTGACATGTATGTTCTATTAAATTGCAAATATGAGAAACAACTGAAATTTTTTTTAAAAAAATGCATATTTTTATGTCTTACATTCTGCCTTCTCATTCCAAATGAAAAATCTAAAGAATACACAAAAAAATAGCATTATTATGACATATTTTCATGACTGTTAAAAGTGGGCATGAATAAATTATGAGAACATCTACAAATGGAACTGATTAATTTACAATGTGATTTATCCTCAGTTATGAATTTTTTCAATTAGGATTGTCATTTTGTTTGGGAGAAGTATATAAAGGAACAGTTTTTTCCTCAGTTGAAAATTAGCAAGCCTAACAAAAGGGACCAATTGATCAATGAGCATCTTCAATTCAGGATGAAGATAGTTTCCAGTAATTTTTCTTTAAGGCTAGAAATATTATCAAACTCGAAATGCCAAAGTATCAAGCTGTAGTTAAAAAAAAATATATTATTTACATACAATCATGTATTTTTTCTTATAATCCACAGGGAAGTTTCCTCTGAAAATTTGGGAAGTTTTTATAACATGTTTATGTTAAAGTTATTTAGTGGTTAATTCAACATATTAGAATTATTTGAAATAAATTTTAGTCCAAAAATTTAATATTTACCTGCTTGAACATTTGAATTACAAAATGTAACCAACAGAAATTAGCTATAGATAGAAAAAAGTGTAATAAATTTGAAATTTTTCCTGTGTGTTGTTACTATTATTGTTTATGTATGTTTGATAAATGTTTAGAAAATGAAATCTCAAATTAAGTTGAAATTTAGTTATTTAAAATTTTGTTAAGATCATGCACTCAGCCTGCATGCAATTTGAGTTTGAGACCACTAGCATATGTCATAAAGAAACTGTTCCTGTGTGTGTTCTTGCTAATTAAGTGAAGTGTTGTCTTAAATTTTCTTAGCTACTGTTTCCATTATTATTTATTAAGTTGACTTTTGTAGAGGAAACATAAGAAATCTTACAACTATGTGAATAGCTTTATATAGGTTTACTGTTTTTGTTAAATCAAGCAATTGCAGTTGCTATGATTTTTAAATTTTCTTTGTTTAAATTTGCTGATGAATTCTGTAATACAAAGCATGACAAAGTTTGTTGAATGATGTCATGGGATGTGCCCTTCCGTTATTCTGCAAACAATGAAACATAGAAAAGATACTATGTATGTCTGAACACTACCTAGAAATAGGCATTATGGAATTTTATTAGTAACACTGTAGCATGCCAAGGTGTAGTAGTGGCTGTAGAATGAACCAGTGAATGAGTGTAAAGAAGTTTGATAAATCTTGAGAAAATCATATGTACCAAAACAAGTTTACAGAATTAAAGCCATGTCTTTAAAGTGCATTTATGAATGGTATAACCATTCATAAATGCAGAATGGATAGGATTCCATTGAAAATGCTGTACAGTGTGATAACCATACGATTTGTCATTGTAATAAAAACATTGAAAAGGCAGAGATGTTAGCCAAAAAGAGTAACATTGAATGCTGATGCACACAAGGACATTCTCGGAAATTTATTGCAAAGGATCCATTTTATAAATCCAGAATATGGCAAAAACAGGCTGGTACTTCCTTCCCCATAATAAATGTTCAGCCACTATTCAACCCTATTCGTGAAACAACTCATGACCTGTAAAGCATTTGAGCCTTCAATCCTTGAGCATTTTCACTTGACCTTGCTTCTGCAGACTTCTTGCACCTGAAAATGAGCTCTAAACAAAGAATGATTTGGGTGTATTCTAGATGTTCAGAGTCATGACAAGAGTTCTCCAGGTGATACTACAAGAGGACTTTGTGAGCAGTTTTCAGGTGTTGTACAGTTGTCGTCAAAATTGCATTGCAAAACATGGACATCACTTCAAATGAATATAAAACATTTTTCCTTTTTTAGATAAGAATCTTTTTTTATAAACAATTCATGAAAATTTATCATGATACCTTGTATATTCAGAGTAATTCTTTCTATGAGATGCCAATTTTTCCTGCTATTCAGTAACTTTTTGTATGGACAATTCCAGTTTCATTAGAACGGTAATTGCTGTTTCTTTTAGTTTTAAAACTTAAGCCTTTAACTTGAGCCTTAAGCCAAGACTTTTCTGTTCTGAAGTCCAAAATGAATAAAATTTGGAATTTAACATGCTTAATCAAATGATGAGTAAATTCTTAATTTTCTCTCTAGAACAAAATAACTGCAGAGAACTCGGAAAACTAAAACTTTAGTTAAAACTAAAATACTAGTTTTTTGTAACTTTTTTTCTAAAAGCAGTTAGTGTCAATTACTAGATGACTGATTCCATGCTATATGGTGAATTGATTTTCTACTTACGTGTACTAGTAAGTCATGGTTTTCAAATCAGTCATTTTTAAACTGAAGGAATGCTGAATGAGATTTTGCTATTAAATATGGCATGCTGCCTATAAGAAGCAAGAAATGTAGAATTCTGATTAGCTATTTGGATAGTCTTTGTGAAGTGAAATATAATTTGAGCTTTTTTTTATTTTTTTCTGTGCAATGTTTATGGGCATCATGACTGTCAGTATGAAGAATTTATGAAGCTTAAAAAATAGTACTTATCACATTATGCACTTAATCATGACAAGAGTTTCACTTAATCATGACAAGAGTCACAGGGCAAAGTGCTATGCTACCGAAGTAGACAACTCAGAATTTTATGAAAACCTACTAATGGTTATTCATGCATTGTGCCACCATCTGGTTTTACAATTAGGTCATGTTCATAGTTTCTGTTTGTTGTTAATAGTTTGTGGAGTTTTTTTTCCTTGTAACAAATCATAATGCCATTATGAAGTTTGCCGATAAGGAAAGTGTTAAATATTAAAAAATACAGCATTTAGCCAAGTAGTAGAAAACATCGGAATTTGCTTTTCACTAAATTATTAATTTGTGCAGTTCTTTTTTTAAGTTAAAACGGGTTGATGTGCACCTGGACGGAAGACTGGAAAGAAAGAAAATTAACTGTTTTCTTATTATGGTTGTTGCATTTTTAATTTAATTAATTTGTTGCTGTTTTATGTAATTTTCAGTGCACAGCTATTTTTTAAAATGGCTGCTTTTTTCGTGTTTTAGGTTGGCAAAAAATTAGTTGCCAATCATTGGCAACTTTGTAAGATAATTGGGTATATAATGCGAGGGTATCTAAAAAAATATTAGTGGGCAGACACAACAAAAATACTTTGGCCACAAAAGATTTTCATTTGTACTAAAAACATGTCCCAGAAAATGCTGTAGAGGTCAATAAGATACGTGTTTTAAAATGGGCTAATTATCACTGTATGTGTTTGCCTTTTTTATAATTTCCTCAGTCCCTCTCCTTTACCCTAAACATAGTTATTTATATCAGTAGAAAAAGACATTAGTTTTTTTTTAATACTTTCTCTGTGTTGTACATTTTACTGTTTACTAAGCATCAGTATTGATATTTTTATTAAAAGAAATAACTAATACAGTTTATATGTAGTATACATTTTTATGACATGTGTTATATATTTCTGGTAAAGTACCAAAAGTGGTAGAATTTGTTATTTAAATTTAAGGTAATTTTCTATTTTGCTTCAGTGCATATTTTGTGCCACTACATCAGAGTTTAATGTATTTTTAGGTATAATATCTAGTTAATCATTACATTTTTTCCGTAAATTTACTTACATAAGTTTAAATAATGTCAGAAAGTTTTTTTTTTTTCCCTATTTCTTAATTCTTTCTTTAGAGGGAATTATTATCTTATCACTATTTCATAATTATCTTACTATAGGTGAATGGGTCCAGTTAGTTTCAAAAAAAGGAAGGAAAAATCGAAAAAAGGATGAAGTACTTACTGCTGAAAAGCAACCTGATACAAGTAAATCGAATAAGATGACTGATGTGAATAAGTCTGGTGAGTTTTTATTGAGCGTGGTTAGAGTTTCGTATGCATTTTTCAAGTTTCCAAAAGAAATATTTTGTATGTATTTTATCAGAAGGAGAATTTTAGTTTGTAAAATTATAATTTTAAAATAAGGTGTTTATTTTTTGCAGTTCATTCAAGTCATAGCATTTCTTTCTTGAATCTAGAATAATATAAATAAAAAAAGTATTGATGCATTAATAAAAAGGTATTTAAATAAAATTCAAAAGAGGAGTATGTGTGTTATTGCTATCTAAATAGCTACAGAATTTTATTCTTTGACTTGCGTAGTAGTTTTACAGGTGGTAAATTTAGAAATGTAATGATAGATGTCAGTGATATATGTGATGTCAATTTTTTTTAACTTTGTAACTGTATTAATGCTATAATGAATTGGTAAAATATAGAAGTTTGTGTACAAAATGCACTTTTTAAGAAAGTTCTTCTAGCTTTATGGGGTAACTTGTTCTTAAATCTATGGCCTTCTAGCAGTGCTTACATGAAATCGTAAATCAAATACTAAAAGTTCCAAATTTAGATCTAATAATAACAATTTAAAACCTACTATATGTACTACCTGAATAATAAAAAAGTAAAACAATAAGAAATTTAACTCAGTTATCAGCAGAGTAACAAATTAAAAATACCTTTCAATTTTATATAAACGAATAATATAGTGGACCACTTGTCATTGATTGGATAAAATAAAATTTAAGAAAGTTAGTATCATCATTGATTGGGTAAAATAAAATTTAAGAAAGTAATCTGTGTGAGACTGCCCATATAGGAATTGTATGTTCAGATTATTAAAAACATTACATTCCCCAGTAACCACTTTTCATTTCCCATGGAAATTGGAGAGTAAGCTGCCAGAGATTTATGATCTTAGTATGTTAACCCTTTTGAGACAGGACACCTTTCTTAAAGATGTTCCCTCGAGGTAGATGGGAGTCAAAAGTAGTTATCCTACAGGCCGAGGATTTTGCATCCACTAAGCCTAACTTAAAAAAGCGTTTACGTCCTAAAGTCATAATTTCTGGTACTATTTTCGATTATTTCTTAAGATATATCTGTCAAAATTAATGTTTAATAATCTTTTTCCTTTACATGAAAATATATATATACATAAAAAATTCTTAATTTGAGAAATAATTTTCGGAACTGCCATTTAAATTATTACGAAGTTTTAATTAATAAAATACAGGGTTAGCACAATGATTCATTTGTTTTGAAAAAGCTGTATTTTCAAGAGTATTTTACATACATGAAAGATATATAAAAAGAACCAGAAACTTACAAGTTTATACACCCTCTACAAGTATTCGGCATATGCACCTTTGGTGATACGATACATGTCTAGACGATAATTGAGCTCATTACATGCATTTTGTAGCACTATTGTCCAGATGTTCGGGAATACCACAAAAATCTGTGGAAGATTTTGTGTCATTTCAAACAGTACCATGTATAGCTCCTGCAACAATGAAAGTCAGAGGATTACACCCGTCGACTAGATTTTTGCGTTAACATTGGAGAACGAAGATTTTGCCACCAAGATGATATTCAGTGATGAAACAACCTTGCACTTATCCTGGAAACATGGTGAAATAGTGAGAAAAAAAATTTGGTGAGTTTGTGGTCCTTTTCATATATTTTTCATGTGTGTACCCATAATACTTTTGAAAATATAGCCTTTTCAAAATTAATGAATCATTTTTGCTTACCCTGTACACTGATAAATTTTTTAATTAATAAAAAAATGCAAGAAAGCCTGTTTACAAGAAGTAACAAAGTCTTTCAGATGAAGTAGAAGACAGGTACTCAATCAGCTCAGTCTGACAAAATGTCCATATGAGAATCACTAGAAATATTGCTGACCCTTTAGAAAATGAATCATCACTCTCATTCATATCACTAATTGTCTCATTTACCATTTGTCTGATAAACAATGCTTGCTAGCCATAATAAACTGAAGTCAAGTCTTTCCAAAGTAAAAGCAATGCAAAGTGTATTAGAACCTCACATAGTAACCCTAAAAGTCCCTATGTAGTAGCCAAAAAGAGAATAAAAAAAAAAAAAAAAAAAGAGGATTCAAAGGGATAATAGAAATGCGAATTTTTATATCATGATGAGTTTAAAAAGTCTATTTAGTCTCTGCCTATTTACATTACGCCCCTCTCCTAGCACCTAGCAGCTTACACCAACATTACACAGAATGGATAAAACTAAAGGTCAGGATCATAAAACTATAGTCATTTCATAAGTATTGGACATGGGATGCCATCTAGTGGTCTGTAAAACGTTCCAGGACACTAGCGCAAATGTGTGATGGCCAGGGGTGAACAAGGAAATACTCTAGCATACCAGTATGCCAGCTGGGAAATGATTGCATTTCTTGCTGGCTCATATGTGTGACAATCGACATGAAAGTAAAGAAATTCAGTTTTCATTGACATGTTGAACTAATGTATTGCTCACAGAATTATTTTTTTATCTGTTCTCTAAGCTACACATCCAAAGAGAAACTGTTATGACCCATTATTTCTTTTTTGGTAATTTCCCTATTTACCTTCTTTCTGTATCTGTTGGTGCTGATCTGTTGCTTCCTGCAATTCCACTTGCATACTACTAAACAGTATTACACTCATTTATCTTTGCTGTTGCTTGAAAGTTATGCCCTCTTCCGGTTTGATAGTTTCTTTTCATTTGGTATTTTGCTTCATTTGCATCATTCTGGTTTTCTTGCAGTTAACTCAACTATTGAGAAATTTGTGGCTGGCCTATTTCTCTTCATATACTTCTTGACACCTGATGAAATGTCTTAGTTAAGTTTAAACAAAACTCCTTAGCATTTTTCAGTATAATAATTTCCCTTGTGTTTAATGTGGTTAATAATTTGTACTAGAGGGCTTTGAAAGCTTGGTGCTTTTTTTCCCCCTATAACCACCTTGAATGCTAAATTTTGAAAAATGTATGTATGATAAATTTGTTATTGTATTGGCTACAGAATTTTGCTTATTTTTAGATTATATGAGTAGTCTGAATGATATGAATAATGTTTCCAATTCAGATAGCAGAAATTATTTTCTGAAATCTATAAATTCTCTGAGTTTCTGCTGTCTACAAAAAATCTCTATGTGCTGACACCTCTATATTTTCAATCAGATAATGTCAGTTGTACAAAGCTTCAGTTTTTAAGACACTAGAGTTCAGTAATCTTATTGCAGTTATGTTTGCCTTGGTGGTTATGAATATAACTACATCAGATGATGCTTAGATTGTAGTTTCTTAGCATAGATGCTGAGACTGGAATTTCACATCTAAGAGGAATAAGGATTTATGAGAGCAGTTGGGTAATAAGATCATGCATGAACTACTTAAAACTTTTTTCAAACAAACCCAAAAATAAAACAAAACAAAAAACAAATTTTTTACCCTTTGTGGATGGCCAGCATGCATATGTGGCAGATACAAACTTTAATTAGATGGGTACAAGGTATGTATACTTCCATGTAAACTGTTTGTGTGTCAGTAATAATTATTACACTTAACCTGATATATTTTTATTTGATTGTTAAAATGTGAGTTACCTATTTTGTTTAGCTTTTGTTTGTCCTTTTCTTTTTTCTCTTTTCTCCCCAATTTTTAATAAGGAATGAGAGCATATATCTGAAATGTAAGCAAAAACTTACTTTACCTTCTAAATCTTTAGTGTATATTTTCCTTCTGGGGAGGGTGCTATGTTTCCCAGATTATATATTTTTTATATTCCCATTTTATTCCTTTTTCAAAGGAATATTTTATGCCTGTAGTTTATATCGTTAAAACTATGCTTCTGCATAAAGGTGAATCTAAATGTATTTTCATGGTATCTAAAAGATTGTCGTGAAAGATAGCAAATGATTTATTAGTAGAGAATTCTTTGAGAAGTATTTTTTAGGTCACTTTGAGTGGAAGTTGGGAAAATAACATGCAAAAGCACATAACATAGAAATTAAACTGGAGCAATTAACAAGGAAAGCGTCAATATTGGAAATTTACATTGATGAACATTATTTGAAATACAAACCTCCTATGTGGAAGTTCATGATTAGATAATGAATGGAAAGATTCTCGCAGATACGTATTTTTCTAAACACGCATTTCAGTTCTTTGAATCTCTTCATTATCAGAATAAAAACTCCTTCAGCAGATAGTTTTTGGAAGAGAAATCGTCACATGGCGACAAATTTGGGAAAGAGAATTTTGATTTGGAAAGGAATGAGTAAATGAACTTTTGTTGGGGCCACCAGTGGTTGCATACGTTTACTTGACTTTTGTGAGGGGTCGCCCACAATGCATTTGGAAAATGTTTTTGATTTAACACAGCATTAAAAATCATCTGCTTGTTTAGGTAAAGAGTTGCTTTCAAAAGTGCTTCCTTTCGAAATGCCATATCATTTTCATCCATCACTTGTTAGTATTGAAAAAGAATGCATTCTAATAATTTTATTGGCGCAAGATATTTTGTATGGTACTTCCGAACGATTATTAAAGAATGAGAAATTTGTATAACAAGATATCATATTTTATTCTCTTTGGTTGCTAGTGTTCAGTTTAGGTTATACAGATATAAAAAAGCAAGGGCTATCTGCCGAGTAGGAGAGATGCCTTTGTGGATGACTTTCTAAAGGAAAGTGTTTCGAGTTCACTTAATATAAGGGAAAAAGCCTGAAAACCAACCATGCAGTCTGGGAACGAACTCCCAGTTTTAGCGGTCTTGATCTCTCAGCTACTCATGGAGCTGTTAGTTTTTCAGATTATTTTTCTGAGTATAATATTTTTATTTATCGTTAAATTAATATATTTTAAGGTACATACCATGAAAAAATCTGAAAACTTGCATCTCATAGTTCTACATGTTTTTTGTTGTCACATGAAAGATTTATTTTAAAATTCATTTTATTTAACATACTAAAACCTGCATAAATCATTTTCAGTTAAAATACAAT